GCATTCTCCCCAAGTCCCAAGTCGCGAACCAAATACTTAGCAAATTAAATCAGATCTTCAGATCTTAGGGCTTCTTCCATCGTCACTCTCTATCTCTCAGCCGACGCTCCTTCGCTCCGCCCTCTTATTCGAAGCCGCGAACCGCCGCGACCTGCAGTAGATGCCACCGCCGATGCCGCCATTCCGTCTCGACTTGCCGCCGACACCGCTAGCCTCTGCCACCGCCACTGCTAGCCTCCACCACCGCTGGTAAGTCTCCCTTTGAATTTTTTGTAATTTATTTCTTCTCCTAATCTCTAAAATCAAACTGCACGGCTCAGATCTGGACGGATTCGCTTTCTTTTTGCTCTAAATGCTCTTTCTTTTGGTGACGGTTCAGATTTGGGCAACTTCGCTTTCTTTTCGCTCAAAATATACTCGCCGGAAGATGGATGATGGATGAGTATTGGTTTATGCTAAACTTCATTCTTTTCCTCTCTTTCTTTGAGTTTTTGCTGATTGAAGTTTATTGTTAATATTTTTTAACCCTTTTTTGTTTTTATTTGTTTTTTTTTGTTTTTTTTTTTGTTTTTTGTTTTTTTTTTTTTTTTTGTAATTCTTGCGCACTGAATGTTGTGGTTGGTCTGTATAGTTTGTGAATTTGGAATAGCAAAAGATTTTGGATTTGGATTAGGAGGCTTATTTAGTTTGATGAATTTAAAATGCTGGAAAGTGTGGAATGAATTTGATTTAGTGTTTAGCTTTTTCTAGATTTTTTATTAATGCATATAGGAAACTGGAAAGTTGCTTCCTAGGAATTAATTTTGACCCCATTTCCAGTTTCATGAACTTTAGCAACTTAAAGAAAGTGCCTAATATACCTGAATATTGAATCATAAATTTGTGTTTTTATTGAGTTTAAGCCAGGGTGCTGAGTGAAAATCTTGTATTGTTTAAACTGTCTGACTATTTCGTCGTGTCTATTAATTTTCTAATAGGTAAGGGATGAGCTTCGTAATGAAACTTTGCAGCTTGCTAGTAAGTTCCTAGCCAGTTTTGTCATGAAACTGTTTCTTTTAAAAATGCTATATACAGATGCATTTTAAACTCTCATCTTGTACAGGGGAAAATCTAGAAAAAGAACCAAGGATCGTGGAGCTTAGAAATCAGGTCAGATGTTTTAAAAAACTGTAGTAAATGTATACTAGACAAAGTTTTAACATTAAAGCATTGATTGTAGATGACTTTTGGTTTTGGTCAGAACATGAATATCCCTAACATGTATGGGTGCTTTTGATGGATGGTGGTGCATTTCAAGTTTAATTGATGAAATGTTTATCTCAGGTTGCTTATGATGATTTTGTTGTTGCTGGATCATTTGCAGTTTCAAGAGAGAAAAGACTTCTAAGTTTGTTTTTCCAAGTATTGTTTATGTTTTCTGTATGATTTTTGCATTTTGAAATCTATCACGGTCTAATTTTGGTGAAGGTCTACACTTGATCAAAGTCATTGAAGAAGGTTGTGGATGCTTCATTGATCAAAGCCATTGAAGTAGTGCCGAATTTGAAGGCTTATTTGGGTGCAACATACTTAAGTAGTATCAATTTAGTATATATTTTCATGACTTTTTTTTATTTATGAACATGACCATAATTTTTGTTGTAAAGAATTTTGATGTTTAAATATATTTTCAATTTTCAATTTAGTCTGTCCATTAATTTGTTGATGACATATAATTTATTTACAACATATATAAATAAAATTTTAATAATATAAAAATAATAAAAATATTCCATATGATTTAAGATTTTCCTACCAACAGTTGGAAGGAAAATTACAAAATATAATATGTGAGTTTTCCGTCCAACATTGGTCGGAATTTCCGACCAACGCACATAGTTGGACGGAATTTTCGACCAACGCACATGGTTGGACGGAAATTCCCACGTTTTAAAAATGGTGGGATACTTGCCGGAATTTCCGTCCAATTTTTGTTCGTTGGACGCTATTTCCGACCAAAAATCATAGTTGGACGGAATTTCCCACGGAGGTTTTTCCGAACGTTCCTTTTGGTCGGTATGTTGGACGAAAACGTCGTTTCCGACCAATATATCGCCTTTTCCGTCCAACATAACAAATGTTGGACGGAAAACGCGAGATTTCCAGCAGTGGATCATTACTCTTTATCAATAAATGTTTTCTAGAAATAGGAAAAAACATATTGATAAATTATAAATACGTTGTTTGCCTAGGAAATCTAGTCCAGGAACATACACCATTAATAACATCTTTTATACAGAGTAATTAAATATTTCAAAAATTGTAAAATATCTGGGATTATGCACAAATACCGCATTTACCAAACGGTGTCGTATTGCTTGGGCAGGAATTGGAGCAATTTTTTGTGGCCAATACATCTTGCTTTATTATAGATAAGATATTTGTTGTGGCTGATAATCGATTATCAGTCAACATTGTTGACTGTACAATAAAGGAACTATTATAATCCATCACTGCCATTCAATTTTCTCACGTGAATTATATTTGAAGCACTTTGATAGGGAATGAGTATCCCTTGGTATACTTACATATACGCAAGTGACCATGAGGAACAATTCTCGAGCATAACCTACCTAAAAATTGATCGACCCAACTAAATGTGGAGACCGAGCAAACGCTTAGCTGGCAGTAGTCTTCGCTCGCCTTAGGACCCGCCCTGACCTTCTTAGGTCGGGACGGCCTATCCGACCATCGTTCGCTTAGAGAGCGCAGCTGAGTCTTACTTCTTTATTTCAATCCGGTCGCAGCAAAAACAAGGACGTCAAGAACCTTAGCATACGTGGGGTATCAGCAGAGCCTCCGACCCCCCTACATGGGTCACACATGTCGCCCATGTCGACCCCCCTTCATGTGCTCCCCTTCACCCCCCTATAAATATCGTATTAAATTCTAGGAGGGGACTTTTTGGCATCTACCTTCACCTACTACACCATAGCTCGGGACTCTCTAACCTCACGTCATTCCCCGAGTTTAAGACTTAAACCAACAAGCAGACTATTATATTAAAGGACTCATCTACAATCCGACCTTGCGAATTGTATGTATTTGAGATATCGTTGCATATTTACCACATCACACTTATTTTTCTTTAGCCTTGGATCCTCATGGAAAATGGTATAGGGTTGGTGTTGTTTGTATTATCGTCAATTAGGGTCTACCTTATAAGATAGACCTACATTGAAAACAATGCTACTTTGTAATTCACATCAAAGATGTCTTTGGTGACTTTTTTTTTTTTTTTTTTTTTTTTTTTTAACATAAAGAAAACTTGTTAATTTTTAATTAAATATCTACTGCAAAGACAAACGTTGACTAAACAGAAAAAAAAAAAAAATCACATTAATTTAAACAAACCGATATCACTTTGGACCAAAGTCCGCATTGCATATTGTGGATCTTAGTCCACAATGTAATTTGCACATATCTTTTGTGGTCAAGGATAACATTTTATTTGAACATTCCTTTATATATATATATATATATATATATATATATATATATATATATAGAATAAATACTCAAAATGGTCTATCAACTATGCTATAACTTACTAATTACTCTTTAACTATCAATTTTATCAATTAAACCATTAACTGTTCAATTCTTACCCAATAATTCACAAATTAATCTTCCGTTGAATTCATTATTGAGTAAGAACTGAATAGTAACTTAATTTACTAATTAAACTTGATAGTCGATAACTAATTTGTGAATTATGACATAGACAAAAAAAATCATTTTAAATATTTACTCTTTTATTTATCTCTAGATTTTCTCAAATTTTTTGTGGGTCAACCCACTCCCCATGCATCAACAACCATTTTTTTGTTTTTTTGGACTACCATCAACTCTATTACAAACAACCATTTAATTATATATTTATTATTAATTCTAATTTTAATTGTAATTATAATTATTATGGAATACAATTTTACACATTTTGTCTCATTTTACTAGTTTTAGTATTTTAAAACTATTTTATGCTTTATTTATTACTTCACATTTTAATATTTTCTTCAAATTTTAAAATTTAATTTTTAAAAATATTTAACAATACTTTTAATATAATTTTAAAGTATATAAATTTTATATACGAATACTAAACTAAATATTACCCAAAAAAATATTGTGTCGCCGGACTCATCGACCGGTGACCACGAACAAGCTTATTTAGTAGCAACCAATCTATATCTTTATTCCTTAGCCATATGCAAAACAACAAACTATATTAAAGGCGCTCAATTATGATGTAGTTAAGAGAGGTGGTAATTGGTAAGAGGTCGCTCTCCTATAAATATAGGTTTCGTCTAAATAATGTGGTAACTGGTAAGAGGTCACTCTCCAATAAATATAGATTTGTCTCAATCAAGTACATATAGTCTTTGAACAACAATAATATTTCACAATTTATTGAGATTTTGCTATTCCGTCCTTATATTTCAAAATAATTTTAAGATTCATCTTTAGTCTTAGAAATTTATTTCCATAACAATTAAATATTACAAAAATAAATTGTATACAAATAACTTGATTCAAAATTGTTTTAATTTAATTGAATTAGATACATATATTTATTAAGATTAGAGATCAAAACTGCTCTGATTTCCGCCAGAAAACAGTAATTACTGTGAAAACCAGAGCAGTTTTTTGGTGCTCTAGTTTTCGGCGGAAACCAATACTTTGCTTTTTAATTTTTTTAATAAATAACATAATTTTTAATATTATTATAAATATTTTTATATTTTAAATAAAATAATTAAAATGCTTAATTATACAATTGTACTCATTTTCAAAAAATAAACCAAACATATCAAGACAGTTTTTGGGAATGCAATCAAACACAGAAAATGAGTTCATTTTACAGAATTCATTTTCCTACTTTCCAAACGGACCCTAAAATTTAAAGCAATGTATACATTACACTTTATATTCTAACATGCAAATTGACCATTGATTGTAGAAAACATGGACATGATTTGCTTTTGGAGGATGGGTAGACAGTGAGTGTCACTAGCTATAGTTGTACATCATCGGCACCATTCTTGCAACATTTAAGCAAGCTTTCCTAAAAGATGTTGGAATTGGAGTTGGAGACAGGCACTGCTTGTTTAGGAGCTTCCACTGTTCTGAAACCATATTTATAACGCGTTGTTTTCCATCACTTAATGAAACACCATGGTTTTCTTTTACGTAGTACTCTACATATGACGCATCATTTCCATCTTGCTTCTCACCCTGCCATATATTTCATAGAAATCCATGTCAGAAACAACATTAACAAGTAGATACCATAATTACAGGCAGACACAACTTTACCTGAGTAGCGTCAAGGTCATCTAAGAGGCGAAGAATTGCTCCTACTGAAGTTATCATTTCTTCAATATCTGTGGTTCCATTGGATGCATCGTGGCCTAACACCAAGAAGCTGGCAATCAGAGCCATGGGAACTCCTGTAGTTATAATCCCAATCTTCAAGTACTCATCAGCTGTCGGGCAATTCCCGGTAGCAAACCACTTTGCTTCAGTTATATATGCACCGCACAAACTTTTCCACTGAGACAATATAATAATAGTCAGATGTAGGTCAGTCCAAACGTATCAACTGTATGTTAATTGGGTTTTAATATACATTCACCAAAAATTGTTTTGCATGTATACCGCTTTTTTAAGGTGGTCTATTGAATTCCAACCATACTTGTTGAAAATAAAGTTGCTGATATCATTAGTTGTATCAAACAGTACAACTAAACACCTCTTCATGTAATTTGGTAATCCCTCAGCCACTGATATTTCCCATCTGTAAAATTACATTATAATAATTAATAATGTAATAAATTACATCAATTCTTTTAAAAGTAATTATTTAATGCAATGTATATATATATATATATATATATATATATATATATATATATATATATATATATATATATATATATATATTCCTTATCACTTATCAGTGCATACAAGAAATGTTGTATATATAATCCATCATAAAAATATAAATAATAACTGTTTCACAAGTTTAAGTTGAATTAAAAAAGAGGATCAATATTTCCAAAGAGAGAAAGAGAGAGAGAGAGAAGGAAAGTAAAGTGATTATATACCTGCAAATGGCATCTAAAAATTGAATGGTTTGGTCAAATGTTGCATAAACATCAATAATGTTATCAATAAGGTATACAAGGGATATTAGCTTGGTAATCTCTACCCTTTCTTTTGACCTGGAAGGATCAGGGAGTGCGAATGTCCAAATGTACCATTTTAGTTGTTGTTTTTTGGCCAACTCATTCATGAGTCCAAGCCCTTTCCACCATCTACAATATGAATTTATGATTAGATTAAATAACCTAGCTAATATATAGAAAGTTCAAATAAAACCAACAAAATTGATGATCAAAATTCAAAGTCAACTCACTGGAGGACTTGGAAAATTTCTTCTTGTTGTAATGATTGGGTAATGCCATAATCCATAGTTGCCAAATTTACCAAACTAGCTTCCCATTCATTTTCAAATCTCATATTCTCAATGAAGGTTTTGGCTTTCAACCTGGAAAAGCTCTTATGATAGGGATTCTGCAATGTGCTCTGAACTATGATGGCTTTGCGATCATCAAGACATGCCATGTTTGTTATTAGAGAATTTCTACTAAACTTTTCAGCTTCATCAAGAATATCTTCTCCTTGTATGGATAGATGGGATGCTTCATGCAACGCCATCAACCCCTTTATATCTTTGCTTAGCTCCTCCTTAAACTTTCCTTTGTCATTGATGAACTTGGTGAAGACATCTTCTTTTACACAAATAAAGGACAAAAGAAATTGAGGCTAAGTATTGCTTTACTTCGTCTGAAGAATTCTTTCTAATTTCTTATTAACATTATTGTTGGTAGTAGTCAGTGTTTAGCCTACGCATCAATATGCTAGGCCATTGTTAAGGAAATTTGAGTTTCACGTACTGGAGCAATTTACATGAACTGTTATATATATATATATATATATATATATATATATATATATAATACATTTGGTGCGGCAGGTGCATATTGCACCATTAAGTATGCATTAATGCACCACACCTAATGGTGCATTTATGCGTTCCTAATGGTGAGTGATCGCACGACCGCATTGAAAGCCCTATCCGCACCGGAACCTGAATATATATATATATATATATATATATATATATATATATATATATATATATATATATATATATATATATATATATATATATATATATATATATATATATATATATATATATATATATATACACACACACACACTAGAGATCAAATGCGAAGGAGTCCTCAGGTAAAATATATATGAGGTGAAATCTCAGTCATTGATCTTGCCGAAATCAACAATCCAAAATGAAGAAATATTTTTTAAAAAAATGTGGTGGCATTATGGTAATTTTGCGTAAGTTCAAACGTCATAGCTTAAGGTGCACAAGTTTAAAGCTTACCGGACGTAAGTTTATAGTTTTTGGTGCCTATGTTTAAAGCTTAAGGTGCTTAAGTTTATAGCTTAATGTTCGTAAGTTTATGTTTAAGGTGCATATGTTTAAATCTTTAGGTGCATATGTTTAATGTTTAAAGTTTAAAGTGCATCACTTTCTAGTTTATGGTGCATCGGTTTAACTCTTAAGCTGACTACTTACGGACTCTAGGTGCATGAATTTAACTCTTAATTAAGGTGCACAACTTTGATTCATTAAGAATATCGACTTCCATACTCTAGGTGCATAAATTTAAAGCTCAATGCACATTATTTGTGCATCGGTTCAGCATTTAAGGTGTATCACTTTGAAACTTAAGATGCATCAGTTCAGTACTTAAGGTGCATAATTTCGACACTTAAGGTGCATCAGTTCTAGACTTAAAGTGCATAAGTTCGAAGACTTAAGGTGCATCAATTTGAGAATTAAGGTGCATAAGTTTGAGACTTAAGGTGCATATGTTTGACACTTAAAGTGCATTAGTTCGTGACAATTAATCATTCTCATCTCTATGTTGCCAAGAAGTGAAAATTTAAAATAAAAAAAATCCTTTATTTGAGCTGTAAATCAACAGCTCATGTCTTACCTTAATTTTTTTTTACTTAAAAAGACCCTTCGCACATGAACCATCATCTATATATATATATATATATATATATATATATATATATATATATATATATATATAGTTGAATCAAGTTAGTACCTGAAGGGATATGATATCCATCTTGCCTAAGTAATCTGAAAAGAATCGATGTCTCAAAAAGTTCTTTATTGTCGCGAAAAAGAATTCCAAATTTGTTATATTGACGCTGCAAAATCGATCCAATTTGGTCTTGAAAATGGTGGTCAATGCCCAGGTGTTGTATGGCATTTATCACGTGTAGCACTTGTAAATCATCTTCTTGGATTTGATAGAGGAAATTTCGTACTTCCTCCATTTTCTCTTCATACTTGACCTCAGGTTCATCCTTCCCAATTTTGCTAATAAATGGAACGTCCTGCTTCCTTAAATATTTTAGAAAAATTAGATGGAAATTATATATCTTGAATGAATAAACATCTACAAATTAAAAACAATACTATTAATATATAAATTAATTTAAAATGATAGTATTAGTTTATTTTGGAAGAATTATATGCTAATCAAAATCAATTTCAAATATTAATAAATATATTAATCATAATTTATAATATTGAGTAAAAAGGGAAATGATAATTTTCATTATAAAATTATAAGAAAATAGCACAATGGGCCACAAGGAGACAAATATTAATAAATATATTAATCATAATTTATAATATTAAGTGAAAAGGGAAATGATAATTATCATTCTTGAATTATAAGATAATAATAGTATAAAAGACTACAAAGAAGTACATCAATTTAGGTATAAAGTTTTTTGGAGTCTCCCACAAAGAGTTAAATTTAAAACTTTAATTTGTAATTATCAATTCAACTATTTTAATTATCAATCATTATTCTATGGACAATGATCTACATAGATGTGTGAACCATAAATAAAAAGTTTTGTCAAAATTTTTTAATCGTCGGAATCTTGAGTGAGTATCGGTTATTGGATTTAATTAGATGCACTACAATGTTAAGTTTGAGTGTTTTATTAAATTTTTTTGAAGTTCAGAGACTTAATTGCACTTTCGAATAAAGTTCAATGGTCTATTTGACCCTTTTCACAATAAAAAAAATAATTACAACCAAATCTAATCCTTCATTTTTTGAAAGTTACTGGCTCTATTACATTGTAGTATCTGTTCATATACTTTCTCAACCTACTGAAACACAAAGAACCAATAACGTCTCCACTGAGGCTTGAACCAAAAAACATAATTAAGCATAAATTTGAATTGATGAACCAATTAAAACATAAATAATTTTGATGGTCAAATTATAACAAAGAAGAAGAGTACGTAAAGTATACTAAGCTATGGATACAAGTGTGCAGTAATTAGTGAATTAGAATAGCATACCCGGAGTTCATTGATTGGCAACGGAAATGAAATGGTGTACAACGACGGCGGTGAAGAGCGTCGGCGCCTTTGGAAAAGGATGCATGTGAAGAAATGGTGGGCGGCGGCGGCGGCGGCGGCTGTGCATAATTTAATCTCAACAAAGTGTTAAGTGGTAAGAAACTCATTTATATATATACTCTAAAACTCCTTCTCAATCTAGAAATTAAATGCTCATATGCTTGCTGTTATATAACCTTTCCAGGTACGTTTCTGCTGAAACTGAAAGGTAGTGTCAAATATTGGATAGGAAATGGAGTGCTATATATAATGGCATAATAATATAAATATCTTTATATAGAAGGTTGACTTTTCTATTAAAAGATAGTTTAGAATTGATCTGAGCTACCATTATTATATTATTGGGAGGATGATATAGCGAATGAAATAAAACATAGAAAAAATTATTGTTTTGGTCTTTTAATCCCTAATTTTTAATTTGGTTGAATTGATTCTTCAATTGTTTTAAATTTTGTTAATTAAATGATTTAATTTAAATCCTTAATCACTGTTTTGATAACTAACGGAATCAAAACAGTAGTTTTCTCTAAAAGATTGCAAAAATATACTGAATACCTTCTTTCTTGCCACTAATTTAATTCTATCTACATCTGTTTGTTCGGTAGTGGAATTCTGACATTCTGGAAAATGAAATTCACATGTAATGTTTCCAAAAAAAGAAAATTGAAATTCACATGTAACAAATTTAAGTGTCGGTTTGACTGGTTAGTTGTTGCATTTGCTTTTATAATTTCTTTTTCTTTTTTTTCTTCGCTCTCAATCTCAACGGCCCCCATACCCCGCGTAGACATAACATCTAGGAGGATGTAAATCACAGTAATTCAGCTGAACACACATGCTAGACCTTTGTTTACTGCGCATAAGAAGTTCCCCTCACTACCACTGATAAGACTCGATCCCTAATCTTTCTCCCCAAACTTCACCCCTGTATCCAACTGAACTGCACATGCGGTATCTTATTTTAAAAGCATAATAGGGAGATTTTTACAAGAATGAAAAATATGTTGGTGTAATAAGTGGTGCTAATTTTAATTTGACATTGTTTTTATTTCTTGTATACACACAACTTCTTTTTAGTTTGGCCTTTTTTTTTTTTTTTTTTTTTTTTTCGTTTGAAGTTGTTAACGTCACCAAATAACACTGTAATTTGTATATTATTGTGTTTATTTTATTTCATATGATAGTGTAAATTGACTCGGATTAACCTACATTGTAGAAGTGAAAAATAGAGAAAGAGTAACGAGACAAGACATTTAATATAGAAACTTGAAATGGAAAAAATCACTAGTTTTTTTGAGCTAGGCTAGACAAAAATTCACTATTATTGTTGAATAGTACAAGTTCTGACATACTCTACTTAATGGTATTAAAATATAAATTAATATAAGAGGAGTTAATGAAGTCGCAAAGCTAATTAATGGTTCGATCCTATGAGATTGGGAAGCTCGTAGTACAAGTTGGAAGAAAATGCTTCCATTACACTAGGTAGAATGTCCTATTTATACTAAGTGGCAAGATACATATTGATGGTAAAATATTAGCACGTTTGTTGCATATTGGTCCATATATCACATCATTATTTCATCACAATAATCACTTACTAAATACATGGTTAGTTTTTTCTCTCATTTAAAAAAAATAACATCCAATGGTATGGAGTAATTTTTATAGGTGTTACTTTTAAAGTTCGAATATTCTTTGCTTCAATTTGAATATTTTTTAGTGAGTGCTACAATTATACCAGGCCCAATATATTATCCTTTATTATCTTATTTCAAATCAACCATTCATAGATAATGACACTAAATAAATTATTACTATAAACCATATCGAACAAGTCCTTTACGTACTGTACATCATAGTTTGCATGCATAATCTTATAACTCATCAGCGGTTTCCCAAGCCAGCTAGTCAGCTACTGTAGCCGAATAGATTCGCCATTGATTGTAGAAAACATGGACATGATTTGTTTCTGAAGGATGGGTAAACAGTGAGTGTCACTATAATTGTACATCATCGGCACCATTCTAGCAATATTTAAGCAGGATTTGCTAAAAGATTCTGGAATCCGAGTTGGAGAAAGGCACTGCTTGTTTATGAGCTTCCATTGTTCCGAAACCATATTCATAATGCGTTGTTTTCCATCACTTATTGACAGACCTTCATGTTCTTTTACGTAGTATTCTACATATGAGGCATCATTTCCATCTTGCTTCTCACCCTGGTATATATTTCATAAAAATCCATATCAAAAACAAAGCCAACTAACAGTGCAAATAATCATGTTAGTGACAATATTATAATAATTATAGGCAACTAATCAACTTTACCTGAGTGGCGTCAAGGTCATCCAATAGGCGAAGAATTGCTCCAACCGAAGTTATCATGTCTTCAATATCTGTAGTTCCAGCAAATGCACCGTGGCCTAACAGAAAGAAACAGGTAATGAGAACCATGGGAATTCCTGTAGTTATAATCCCAGTTTGCAGGTACTCATTAGCGCTCGGCGATTTTCCAGTAGCGAACCACTTAGCTTCAGTTATGTAAGCACTGCACAAACATTTCCACTGTGACAATAATAATCAAAATATCAGTACAAACAAACCAACTCCCATCTTGAGTTTTAATAATGCCCGCATATACCAAAAATTGTTCTATACCGCTCTTTTAAGGTGGTCAATTGGATTCCAGCCATATTTTTCGAAAACAAGGTTGTTGATATCATTAGTTGTATCGAACAGTACAACCAAACACCTCTTCATATAATCCGGTAGTCCTTCCCCCACAGATAAATCCCATCTGTGAAATTAAAATATAATTTAATTAAATGCATCCCATTCTCCTAAAATAAATAATACTCGGTATTTAATATATTGTCATGTACTATATATTAATTTAATATTGATGATGCATAAACATAATATTCTATTTTTAAAGTAGTTTTTCTCATTTAAATTGAATTTATTATAAACGAAAGAAAGTGATGAAGTGATATTATCTACCTGTTGATGGCATCAATAAATTGCTTGGTTTGATCAAATGTGGCATAAACATCAATAATGTCATCAATAAGGTATACAAGGGCGATTGGCTTCGTTAGCTCTATCCTTTCTCTTGACATGGAAGGATCAGGGATGAGTGCCAATGTCCAGATGTACCATTTTAGCTGTTGATTTTTAGCTAATTCATCCTTTAGCCCAAGACTTTTCCACCATCTATAATTTTAATTTACATACAATTATATTAATTAAATGGCCTGACATATAGAAATTTTATATAAAACCAACAATATTGTCCAAAATTCAAAGTCAACTCACCGGAGAATTTGACGAAATTCCTCTTGATAAAATGATTGGGTTATGCTATAATCCATTGTTGCCAAATTTACCAGGGTAGCTTCCCATTCATTTTCAACTCTCATGTTTTCAATAAAGGTTTTGGCTGTGAACCTGGCCAAACTCTTATGGTAAGGATATTGCAATGTGTTCTGAACCATGCTGGCTTGGCATTCATCAAGATGTACCATGTTTGCTATTAGAGACTCACGGCTAAACTTTGCAGCTTCATCAAGAACATCTTCTCCTTCTATGGATAGATGGGATGCTTCATGCAACGCCATCAACCCTCTTATATCTTTGCTTAGTTCCTCCTTAAACTCTCCTTTCTCGCTAGTGAACTTGGTGAAAACATCTATCAAGTAAAAGGGTAAAAAAAAATTGTTAAGGTTATTGTAAAAGATTTTAGTCTCATCATCAATTGTATCATATTTTATTTGTGGTTTCGATAAGAAAAAGAAGAAAAAAAAAAAACAGAGCAACACAATTATTGGTAATTAAGAAATAATGTTAGATGACAATTAGTACCTGATGAGACATTGTAACCTTCTTGCCTAAGTAATCTGAAACTAAGAGAAATATCATAAAGACCATTAATTTTCTGAAAATCATCAATTTTAACTTTTTGATATTGTCGCTGCAAAATGGCTCCGATTTGGTCATGGAAATGGTGGTCGATGCCCAGGTGCTGTATGGCATCTATCACATTTAGCACTTGCAAATCATCTTCTTGGAATTGGTATAGTAATCCCCTCTGCCATTCCCTTTTCCCTTCACTTTTGAGCAGAAACTCATCCTTGGAGAGTGTTACGGTCATTTTTTCCGATCTTAAGGAACTGTAAAATACCAAATGATTAATATTAAATAAGTTTTTCAAATAATGGTGGCAGGAGATATACCTCCCATAGTCCCATCTTGGTAAACTGGGCCACCGATGACTAAGACTAAGCATACTAGTGACCTTTCATCTCACGCCACTTGCACTGATTTTCTTTTTAATTTTTTTTTTTGATAGGTTGGTATACAACCCGATAGCACAATTATTATATCATGGACCAGGGTTTATATTGCATTGCGAACTGATCCAAAAATTATGTGCCTGTTGTTAATATATTTTGTATCTATTAACAAATTGAAAGTACATAACATGGTAACGTAATTACCGACACAAATTGTTAACTATAGATAAAGATTATATTAAATGTAGACATAAGATGTTGGTTATCATGTTATACCAATTAATTTATACACGTAATTTATTAAAGCTCACCCTTTCTATAACGCAAATCACCATAAAATAATTTTATATATAACTCAAATTACAACCAAACCAAAACTCAAACATATCTTCTTGGTCGATGCGCAAAAGGGATTGAATTATATGAAAGAAGAAGAGAAAAACAATACCTGGAGTTCACTGATTGGCATCGGAAAACCACTGGCGTGCGGCGGCGACAATGAAGAGCGGTGCCTATAGAAAAGCATGGTATGGATGCATGCGAAGACATGGTGTTAAGGATTTATCTTTTAAAGACTTCTTCCCGCTTAACAGACTTTTCGATTAGCTGTAATTTTACTTTGAAAAATCAATTCTGGAAGGCTTTAAGACAATGTTTTGCCAAGCCAAACAGGGCGGTATGATGAATGTATGAAGTGATGATGCAGGTAGAGTGTTTGGGTGAGAATGGTATTTATAGAACCCCAAAATTTTGAAATCTGTACATACCACTTGCATGACTTTGAAGCCAAAATAGGCAGCAGGCTCATTCTGTGTTTTTAAGCACATATTTGTTGTGGGTGAAAAGGACGGAGCCAAAGTGGGGCCAGGGGCAGCTACCTCCCTCACCTGGGCAAATTATAT